AATGCAGTCAAGCACAACAACACAAATCAATGGAAAAATTTCTGAAATCTCTATAAAAGTTATTTGGGAAAACTATAGACTTTGTTTTAAATTCTACAAAAATAACACATGCAACGTTAACACAATGCAACGTTTAATAAAAAAAAAGATTTAATGTACAAGTAAATGCATTAGACAAAATGCATGATACTATCCCTGAAATGGTCAATATATGAGTCTGAGTCAGTGAGCTGGCAGGTTGCTGTTGCGAGTTGAGCCAGTATTTTAGTATCTGTGAAGTGTAGATAGTACAGTGTAACCCTGCAAGTCAGGGTTAGTGATGCACAGGCCCTGATGCACCGTAGCTCTTCCACCGATGAGTAAATGTGACCTGTGGTTGTGTACATTGACTTTCACAGCAATAACTACAATGTGTTAGAATTACAGTTATGTATATAGTTTACTACAGCTTCACACTTTCTGTATTGTATAGCTATTAAAAAAAGATATATAGGAGCACAAGAATGACACTTAAAGCTTGGTCTTAAGCCTGACATTGTGGCATGTGGCATGCTAATTCATCATTAGCATCATCATTAGCAATGCAATTAAGTCCAAGACTAGACTTAGTCCATGACTGGGAAATGCATTCTAGCCTGTAATTTGTGACAGACAGCCCAACATACCATGTAACTCTCTTTTTTTAAGATCAACTTCTTGTTTGAGATGAAAGCATCAAAGTCATGGAAACTAACTTTGTCATTCTTTTAGTGCACATTAAAAGCTCAGCTCCTCAGAGTAACATACATCCTGTACTGACTGGGAGAAAAGAAGCTGGGAAGCTGTTATTTTTAGGAAAGTTCTTGTACCACTGGGCTACGTGTATGGCATACTGTATGTACACAACTGTTTTACTGTATCACATCTGAAGTGTTCAACCCCTTAGCAAACCACGGGCCCCAAAGTTTTATTACACACTTCTATAACCTAAGAATAGCTCCATTAGTTTGCAGTGAAATCCCTGTAGTTACTAAATAATAAGCCTTTGTATTAAATAAACCTGGATTGTTAAGGGGTTAATGCCTCTCCAGCTAACAGAAAAACATGAAATGGCAGAAAACATGAAGTGGCTATGACAGCACATGGCTATGTTGTTGGCGATAAGGTTTTAAGATAAGATTTGGCTTTTTCATCCATTCACACCAAAGAGATACAAGCAGGGCACTGTACGGCAAAAAGTTCTTTTTTTTAAACCATTATTTTAGCTATATCAACATTATATATAAAGACCCATGTAGGCTGACTGGTGATTTAGGATAATAAATATAACATAAATATGCAGCGAGCGTGACCCCTGGTTCCTATCACCTCCACTGTAAAGAAATCTGAGCTGGTAATTTTCTCTGCAATGAACCATTTTGCCGTCACTGTCCAAAACATGTACATCCATTTCTGTCAATTTTTATTTTTCTATATCATCTGAACACAGTGACCGCCCTTTACATTGCGTGAAAATGTCATAATGAAATGACCAACAGAAAGTCTCTTGAAATAAAATCTCTTTTCTTTAGCTTACGTTAAAAATGAAGAATGTTTTGCCTTCTACTGTCAAGTTATTCTTCTGGAGACACAGGTTTCAGTGATGACATGTTCCCTTATAATTGGCAATATTGATACCATTTTATATTCAATATAATCAATAGTTTTTTCCTCAGTGGTTGGCAGGTAAGGCATTTGGCTTTGAATGATCACAGAGTAAACCAATGTGTTGGTGGCATACTGAGAGTAGTCAATGTCTCATCAACACTTCAGTGATTCCTCTAACGTAACATTACTTTGACCTCATGATACCAAAATTCTTCACCTGATAGCCTCCAAGCAATCAGCTTATACAGCAGTTTTCATTAAGAATATTCAACTATTACAGAGTTCAGAGCTAGAATAAACAAAAATGTGGCTAGTTGAGAGTCTGTTAGGATTGGATTGAAACGTCTACCATGAAATGTTACATCAACGCAGATTAGTCTTTCAGTACACTGACTGCTAGCAATGATGGTGCTGATGTAACATATTTCGCTATTACAGAAAACACTTTTAATGCGACATCTAAATCAAGTCAATCCAATGGAATACTTGGTTTTATCAGTGCACACGTATATATATTCAGGCATATACATATTTAGGGAATTGTGTATTGTGTATAAAGAGGAACGTGAGCATTTAACACTTTTACCCCTCCAATAATTTATACAATAAACAGGAGCCTAAGTCACTTCCTTAATAATTTAGATGTAAGCTAATGTTGATTTATTCAGGAGGGCTAGAGCCGGCAGGCAGCCCCACGGAGCTGAAATGTGTATTAAAGTAGGACAGAAGCAGCCGGCGCCGTAATAACATTTGGATAATTTTATTATGGCTCACGGCTCAGTTCATTTCCTCCTCCACTCGCTGCATGAAATTGTTTGATTCTCGGAGTGCCTTGAGTGAGCCGAGAAGGTGACACAAACACATGTGCACACACACTTGCAGCAGACACACACGATTCACGTTCACACACAAGCATGCAAATTTACCCTCTCCTCACACTTTCTGTCTGTTACACGTGCCAAAACACATATACAGTAATATGGCAGTTTAAAACATGCACAAACACTCAAAGCAACACTTGATGCATCGCACACAGGAGGAGGTGATGCATCTCGTTATTGACGAATGTTTTAAATCTGACACTCAGAATGGAGCCTGACTGTGATTAATGCCCTCAATCATTCCTTCTACTGTCAGACTGACAGAGAGAGAGAGAGATAGAGAGAGCTGTAAGACTGAAAAGAAAAGCTTTCTGGCTTGTTTAAATGCTTGTAAAGTGACAATGGTGGATCATTCTATCACTGCAGTGGCAAATGGTGTCCAACAACTTTAAAGCCATTACAATAAGAATAAACCATTAATGTAACGTTTGGTGGAGGAGGAATAATAGTCTGGTATCATTTTTCATGGTTTGGGCTGGACGTTTAGTTCCAGTGGAGGGAAATCTTAATGCTCTGGCATACCGTCACATTTTAGAGAAATTTGTGCAAGCTCCATAAAGAAATGCTGTGCTGAGATTGGTGTGGACGAACTTGACTGACCTGCACAGAGCCCTGACCCTCAACCCCATCAAACACATTTGAGATCAACTGGAACGCCGATTGCAAGCCAGGCCTCACTAATGCTCTTGTTGCTGAATAGAAGTGAATCCCTACAGCCATGTTGTGAATTTTTCATATTTCAGACACTGTTGTAGTTCTTAGCATTATATATATTCACTGGTTATGCCTGTGTGCCTATGCTGACAGGGGGACCTTTATTCTCTCATGTTGCGGTGGTAGCCTGGTGGTACTTGTGAAGATGATTTAGTTTATATTCTATATTTAAGCTGTTAATGTGAGAAGTAAAGTTAATCATTCAAGGCTGATTCAGTCCTGACCTCCCCGGGGGCCTTAAGCAAAATTTTGCAAAGGGGCCCTCCTACTTGACCCATGAGCGACGTAAACCTTTTGCAATTGTCACAAAGTCACACCTGACACCCCAGTGCTCCCACTACAATTCTCCCTAGATAATCACTGTCTTGTTTTAAAATGATGGATTTTAAAACTGAAGAGTGTGCTATCCTGCCAACGTATTGTCTGGACTAGGCTGGTCTCCACAGAGGTTGCTGCTGCAAAGCAACGTTTAAGTGCGACATGGTCTTTTCCAAGTAGCATTTTTGAAACACTGTTGCCCGTTGGCATTCATCAAATATAATAAACAGTTAAATAGTAAGTAGAAAGTACTTCACTCTCACTTTTGTCAGGCATAAAGTCAAAAACACAGCCCTGGAAGTGCTTGGCAAGCGAACACGACACAAACAGACCAAGAGATGCACTGCCCAGCATCAACTTTTATTTGTGAAACTTTACTATTCTTTGCTGACATCAAACTTGAAGAGAACACAAGTTTACCTGGTTGCTGTCCTGCAATTCACTCTCTTTCTTTTCATGAGCAGATGGATTGTTCTATTTTGTCATATTATAATTTGCAGGGCCCTACGCAATGTGCCAAATGAACATGAAGGGCCGATCAGCTCTGCTTTGAGGCTTCGGTAAATGGAGACAGGAACTAAATGTTATGTGTGTTTTTGAGGATTATTTCATATGGAAATATATTTTTGCACATGCTGGTTGGTGAGCTGATCTCCCGAGTGTAATACTGTTTAGCTGGCTAGTCCTGCAGCAGCCACTACCAATTTAGTAGTACCAGTTCAGTTGGTCAAATCAAAACAAGTCAAAATCTATCAGAGAGCCTTTAGAGAAGAGAGTGGAGGCTGTTCTAGCAGCAAAGAGGGACCAAGTCCAAGGTAGAATGAGATGTTCAACAAGCATATACATGTGCTGTCCACATACTTTTGGCCATGTAGTGTACATTCATATAGAAGTCAATTGAAACACACCACAAAGACAGGAATACAAACTCGACTGTGTGCGCGCGCGTGTGTATGTGTGTGTGTGTGTGTGTGTACTGTAATATCTTCGCGCATCACATATAATCAACCATCTCTGTTTATTCATTTATTTTCTTCGCTAATAATGAACATAAATCACACCAAACTCCCAGCACAGCGACATGCCGAGTGTGTGCGTGTGAGGAATAAAAGCCTCCCTCTCGATGCCTCCCTTTCGCTGTGCGCGCTCCCTCCCGCGCGCCCCCGGTCCATCCATTTGCAGGAAGCGCCCGGGGCAGCGCTCCATTCGCGCGCTAAAATCACAGCGATCATCAGCGGCTCCACAGCAGCTCAGAGCCAGCGGAGCCTCAGCGGAGCCTAAGCGGAAACAGCGCGCGCAGGCTGGCCGCACGAGCAGCAGCTGCAGCTTCGCCGCTCTCATCGCTTCGTTCCGCGGCACGGGTGCTGAGAGCCGAGTGCGACGGAGGCGGCAGGGCGCGCGGATACCCGGCGGCCCACACACACACACACACACACACACATATATATATATATACACACACACACATAAACCCCGGAGCTGAAGCACTCAGCGCTGGAGCGGAGCGAGGAGAAGAAGAAAGAGGAGAGAGGAGAGAGGGGGCGCGTGGTCCAGGTGAGGGGTGCGAGATTTGGGCGCGCGCGCGTTTGTGTGTGTGTGTGTGTGTGTGTGTGTGTGTACGTGTTTACTCCTATCACCCACCCAAACAAGCAGGCAGTGACTTGGACAGCTGCGTTTGCGCATGTGCCTGAAAACGGGTGGGTTTGGGGGAACAAACATCGATTCGGTCCGTGCTGGTGTGTGTTTAAGGGCAGGACGCAACTAGGCGAGAGAGAGAGAGAGAGAGAGAGAGAGAGAGAGAGACAGAGAGATCGTGCTCTATCCACAAATGACACTATGTCACTGTAGCCCGTTCAGCCATCTCTTCCAAAAGTAATGGCACTCCAGCACTCGACCTCGAGACTGAGGAGCAGAAACGCGGTCAATGAACTGGACGCTTGAGCGGGCTGCTCTGCTGGAATTGCTGTGATAGTCTAGCTGTTAGGTACTGAGTTGCCGCTGGGGCTTTTTATACCCGAGATAGAATAACATTTAGTTATTTCGTTCAGCGTTTTCCTCGTGGTTTTACTGTATTGTTTGTGCCTGCTGTCCGGTTAATGTGCTTTATTAACTGGACATCTATCTCTCAGCACTCCAGCACCAACGACAGACAGGAGCTGCTCATATTAGACAGATTACTGCTTTGTTATTTAGCCTGCTAATGTTTTCACAGGGCACTAGTATTTCCATATATTTTGATATCTTTTTTTAATTGTATTATTTATTTTATGCTAATTAACTCATTAATTCCTTTTTTCAGTAGTGTAATGTGCACCTACTGATCTGGTAAATTTATGTCAACATGAGCCAAAATTCATTTGCAAAGCCCCAGACTGGCCAAGGTCAGCACCTGGAATCTAAACCAGGATGATAGATTTGTGGTTTCTGCTGCAGAACAATTCATACTGAAGAACAAAGATGTGCTAATGCTTGTGGCTTTTTAGATGGATGTGTTGTTCATGCTATTGATTATCAACCCTTAATTCTCAGTCTCATAACTCAAATGGTGCACATTTTTGTAGGGTGCGTGTGTAGTGGTGCCACACTAGCGTGAGTGGGTCACACACATGTCGTAGTCTTCTGGCATCTGTGACTGAGTCTCTGGTCGCCATGCCAGCTGGCCGAGCGCGGGCCACTGTAGTGAAGCAGAGTGTTCACCAGAGGCTGCTTTTCCGGCTCTGTGAATAGCACTCATGTTGTAGCATATTGTTCTCTGGCACTGTGCTCAGCCTGATGGGTGCTGTTATCTGGCCTGAGCATCAGACTCTGTGTTTAGCAGCTTTACGCTCTTAAAAATAGGATGGTTCTTTAAAGAGACATTTTTACCTTAATGGTTCTATCACAATTAAAGGTTTTTACTAGGCTCATAAAAATGAAGGTTTCTAAATAGTTGTTGGCTTGGACGCCTGGTTCCAGGGGAAAAAAATTCATGTGAAAATAGGTGAGAACCTTTACATTGTCTGGAGATTCTTTATCTTTTAAAAAGGTTCTTCACACCCTCACATCTGATTTACAGAAATGGCTCTTTAAGGACCAGAGGTTCTTTTAAAGAACCAAAAGGTTGTTATTGTATGGCATCACTCCAATATAAGGGTGATAAGAAACCTCTCACTCTGAAATACATCAGGTGTTTAATACTGGGTGATTCAAAAAGATTCATCCAATTTCAAAATGATTTATTTTACTTGTTAATCATTACAGAGCAATGCAGTAAATTGTAAATGGTTTAAGTGAGCATAAAGTTTATTATGTAATTTTACAAGTGCTCAATATGAACCTCCTCCAGCTGTACGGACAACATCAACACGATGGTCAAACTCATCCCATACTCGATTGAGCATGTCGGGTGTCACTGTACTCACAGTTCTTTCAGTGTGATTTAGGAGATCATCCAGTGTTGTGGAACCAACGACGAATGCTCTGAGTTGTTGGAGGTTCACTGCCCAAGAAAATCACGTTGCACAGTTAGGACGGATTCACTCTTATTGAAGTGGAGAATGCAAAATGCTTTGTGCTCAGGGGTCTCCATCCCCTCACAGACTGAAGGGAGCCATCTTCCAGTGACAGAAACTCTATGACCCCCTCTTTCAATTGGTATGTGATTGGTTCCTAGGCACCTCACTGCCACTTTGAAATCAGATGAATCTTTTTGAATCACACTGTACATGGTCTTGAAATGTTAAGAAAAAGCATCACAGTCCTCCAACTAGGATGATTTTGATTCAAGTATTTTGGTTCTCCTAACATTTTCAGATGGTAAAATTTAGACCACTGGTTCAGTGGTTCCCAAACAGATCCTGGAGGCCCACTGCTCTGCACATCTTAGAGCTTTTTCCTGCTCTGTCACTGGCTGCAGTGCAGGAAGAGCTTGTTAATAAGCAGATCAGTTGGATTAGGTGTATGGAGGTAGGGCTCCTGCAGGACCAGGGTTAGGAAACACTGCATTAGTTCATTACTTTGCTGTGCTCAACACGCTGTCCTTTGTAACGCTACCATTGCAGTAAAAGTGTTCGTCACGGCTCTTACCAGAGCGGTCAGTGACCTGGCTAAGCTGACATGCATGTGTTAGTGGCTGTGTGGAATAAGATGAAGGAGAAAAAGCTAAAGCTCACCCACTGTCTTCTCTCCAGGTCAGTGCATAAAAGGCTACAATAATGACCTCAAAAGCATGTTTACTGCATGATGTATCATAGGTGTTGATAATAATGCATGTTCATTTGGATACAAAGTTTGAACATCCTCTGTCAAAATGTTTGGTTGATTTCATAAGAGCGAATAGGTTAACACATCCTTTACATTAAATATGCAATTTCTCAGCAAATGTTGAAAACATACGATGTAAATTGTGCCATAACTTTGGCAAATAACTTTTAATGTTTCACAGTATGTTAAATGTAACAAATAAACAGTAATTGTGTATGAAAATGTGCAGACGTGTTTTCTGTAGAGGATATGTTAACTTAATTCACTTAGAAAATCAACAAAAAGTATAATCTGACCACAAACTTTTACATTTAACTGTGTGTGTGTGTGTGTGTGTGTGTGTGTGTGTGTTTGTATGGGTGGGCTTGTGTTTGTGACTGCAGCCTGTGGCTGATGATCCATTTGTTTGATGTGTTATTAATATTGTATCATACACTCATTAAGGAAAGAGTGACAGGCTGTTCCTTACCTGAGGAAACAAACTTCTATTGAGATGGGTATCTGTATCCTGTTTTAAAGTGTGTGTGTGTGTGTATGTGCGTGTGTGTGTGTGTGTGTGTGTGTGTGGTAGGAGAGAATGTAACAGAGTATCAACTCAATTTTCTTTTTCTGTTTGGAGATACAAAATTCTCTTTACTAAACTATAAAGGAAAACTCCAGCATTTTCAACCCCATCTCCATCTGCCGCATCTGCAGTGCAGTCAATTACCACAGAGGATAATTGACCATTTGCAAAACTCTTACACGCCGCGGCTCCCTTAGTTATTGTTGCTAAGTCCATCAAACATCCAGCTCAGACTGCCTTGTAGTAGATTTGCACCGATCATGAATGTTAATGGCTGATTCCAATTTCTTTATAGCCAAATTATCCCACTGTGTGGGGCAAATGAACACATGAAAAACACTAGCACATTTCCAGTACTATTTTATTAGCCAAACTTGCAATATAAACAGCTTTAGTTGCTATTTAATGGGCCAAACTGGCTTTTTTTCTAATTTAAATAACATGAATCAAATAAAGCCACTTTTAGCCACTAGGTGTTAAAATGTTTAATAAGGAGGAGGTTTGAGTGAAGCAAGCTACCCCTTTAGATGAGCCAGTGCTAACATCAAAGCTAATGCAGGAGATAGCTGAGGAGGACATCAGATGATGAAGAGGACTCTTGTACCATGTTTTTTTTAGCAAACTTTTTTAAACTTTACAGAGTATTTTAATCACAAATGTGCTGTAGTCCGGTATAATCTGACTCAGACTCAGCTAATTGTCAGCAGCTAAGGAAAGAAGGCATAACTCAGCTAGCTTACTAGCTTCACAATGTTAGCTAGCTAGCTTCACATTGCTGTGCAACGTTATTTATCATTAGACAACATATTAAAATTATGTTTAGCAACCTACAGTAACCTGGATAAAGGTTAGTTTACCTGTTGACATTAAGCTGTGGTTTTCCACTTACACCAAGTGGCCACTTCATTAAGTACATCTACCTTGTATCTACACTCACTGTCCATTTTATCAGCTCCAGTTACCATATAGGTGCTGCTGAAACTGTGTCCATTTACTGTCCACTCTTTTAGACACACCTACCTTGTTGAGCCACCTTGTAGATGCACAGTCACCTGTTGCTTCACAGGTTGTATTAATCATTCTCTATTCACTGTTGGCTTGATAATTTTGTTTGGTGGACTATTTTCAGTCCAGCAGTGACACTGCTGTGTCTGATCTACTCGTACCAGCGTAACACACACTAACACGTCACCACCATGTTAATGTCACTGCGGTGCTAAGAATAATCCACCACCCAGATAATACCTGCTCTGTGGTGATCCTGTGGGGGTCCTGACTGTTGAAGAACAGAGTGAAAGAGAGCTAACAAAGTATGCAGAGAAACAGATGGACTACAGTCTGTAATTGTAGAACTACAGAGTGCATCTATATAGTAAGTGGAGCTGATAAAATGGACAATGAGTGTAGAAACAGAAGAAGGTGTACTCAATGAAGTGGCCAGGCAGTGTATAGTTTGATCCATCTTCAATAATGAATCAAAAAGTTACAACCATCCAAATGATCAGGATAGTGTCCGTCAGAATGATATGCTTTCATAACTCTTTAAAAAATGATAAAGCTTAATAATTCTGACTAATTTACTGGCACCGCCGTTCTCACTGCAGGTTTGTTCCTTTTGTTTTTCCTTAGCTTGAAGGAGGAAGTAGTGCTTAGTGACAGATGTGACTGGTCGAGAGGCGCGTCAAACATTATTTTGCAAACAGTCAACTTTGATGTGTTTCTCTCTACTATAAAAGAACAGAAAGAG